TTCACACTTGGTTGTTTGCCTAGTATGGGAACTAGTAGAAGAAGGCATGCTCTATATATCAGTTAATGGTTAATGCACCAAGTGTATGAAGCTTCTTAGCAACAGAATTGGTAATGGTGGACTCAGAGGGTAATTTTTTTTCATTGCTTGGTTATGTATTATATGGAGTAGAGTATTTATTGCTATATTTAGTTTGTGCCCTGGATAGCTAATCTAGTAAGGTTTTTTTTTTCCTTGGAGTGTCAATGAACAGATGTTTCAGTGTACATTTGTTTTGTCATGAGTCACCATCACATTAAAGGACTACTGTATTCAGTATATGAATTACATTTTAATTGTACATACATTTTTTTTATATATATTAGTCTGCTCATATGTTCAAAAAATGAAATGAAGCATTTGAGTAGAAAAAATGGAATTATAGTACCATACTGTCATTACATGCTTTACCTTCTTAAAGTATTGTTTGCGACAGTGGTCCTTTAAAGCAGAACTAAAATCTGTCTATACTTACATCCCTCCAGCAATGCAACATTCTAAAGATATTTCTGAACAGGCAGGATAGAAGGATAAGAAGATACTTATATTAAAAAAGTGACAGTTATTTTTCAGTCCAATTAGTTCAGTGAGATTTGCCTTCCTGATATTGTAAAGCGCTGCGCAAACTGTTGGCGCTATATACAGCCTGTTTAATAATAATAATAATAATTTAAAAAATACAGTCACTTCAATGAAAATAAAATCCCTTGTCACTGTGTAATGCTTTGTAAATTAAGCTGATAATGTCTCCCATTGCAATAAAACGCTTGTCTGCTCGCATTCTTTTTGGGGGGAGGGTGTAAAGTCCTACTTTAACCACTTGCTGAACGAGGTGTTAAGCCCCCTTCCTGGCCAGGCCATTTTTCGGTATTCAGTGCTGCGGTACTTTGACTGACGTTTATTCCGTCATGTAACGCTGTACTGAAACAAATTTTATGCCATTTTTTGGGACAGATAGAGCTTTCTTTTGGTGGTCTTTAATCACCACTGGGGTTTTTATTTTTTACTATACAATGAAAAGTTTCAAAACTTTTGAAAAGAAAACTGTTTTCCCTACGTTATGTTATAAAACATTGATTAGTACCCATAAAAGACGGGGTCACGTCGGTTAAATAGATAATAAACATGTCAAGTTTTAAAATTGCATGCGCTCACGAAATCGCAAAAATCGACCATGCCTAAAATTGGCCATGAGCAATGCTTTAAAAGCTTTTGCTGCTTACCAATTTAGTTTAAACAGTGATTGATGGCCCTAGAATTATTGCTTTCACTTCGACGGTCACGGCGATATGTAACATGTGTGGCATAATTGTTGTTTTCGCCTGTAGGTGCACCCGACGTGTATTTACGTTTATATGTGTGTGCATGCGGGGGCAGGGAACTTACATTTTTTTGGGTGTTTTTTATTTTTTTTTAATATCAATGACTTAGATTTTTTTAAAACTTGTTGTTTTTTATTTATTAACTTTATTGCTATCACATAGGGGACTTACAAGCCCCGTATGGGATAACAAATATACAATGACAGATCCTCTTTGTGGAGACATTAGGGGTCTCTAAGACCGCTAATGTCACCTTGGGACCCCAAAGAAGCTGATGAAGCGGAAATCTGCTTCACCAGCTTCTTCTCTGGCTATAGCAGCCAAAGAAATGGCAGGCTGAATGCGGAAGTGTTGTAATACACATCACTTCCGCCTTTAGAGATCGGAGGAGAGATCAGCAAGTAGGAGAATGCTGATCTCTCCTTTGTGTACAGTTGAGCAGCCGCTGTGCTAGTCCCGGGCTTGCAGGGGGGACAGCGGAGCCCGGGATATCCGGCAGCAGCAGAAGAGGGGTGGGGCGCGGTAGCAGAGGGGGCGCACTGTGCGTTGTCATACAAGTGATCGACCAGCTGTAGAGCCGGTGGAACGCTTGTATGTAGCAGCCGATAATGGCTGTTTACATTCGCCGCAGGATTCTGTTTGCCTAGCGGGCACGCGTGAGCAGAAAAAAAAATCACGTACATGAACGTCCACCCGCTGGGAAGCGTCCGCCATCCGCCCGTGTTTTGACAATGGGCGGATGGCAAGTGGTTAAGTATCTAGAACAAATTTGACATTGATGCGCTTATCTTGTATCTGTAACAAGCTCAAGAACACAAAAACTATGATAACATGCTGATTATCTGATAACCAGTCACAGGTCAGCAGAGTTTATCTTTTTCTTGTTGAGGTGCAGTTTGCTTTTCCCACTACCGTCATCATAATGTAAGGACGTAAAATAAGCAGAGTTGGTTTCGCTTAAAGTGTATTTCCACTTTTGCAGGCAAATTGGGATAAAATCACCTACGTTAGATTTGTTACACGTTCTTAATTACATTGCATGAATTAAAAAATATAAAAAAATTGTTGCTTACATTTTTAAAGGGTTATTAAACCCTTGCGTGTTTTTGCATATAGTTAGTGCTAGCAAGCAGTAGATATATGCAAACACATTTAAAAACAAAACCTTTTAAAAAGGGTTAATACTTACCTGTGTCTTCGCCGCACACTCCCATCCGAACATCTGAAGAGCCTCGGGCGGCCGCAATGGATCTTGGGGCAGGCGCATGCGCAGTTCAGATGTTCGTCTGGGAGACGAGGAGAGACACAAGGTAAGTCTATGGACAGCGTGCACCCGCACAGACTCCGTGGGACATGAGACAAAAGGAGGACAGAGGAGTCAGCATTGGATCGTAGACCCGCACCAGCGCTGGAGGGACAGCTAAAAACTACAGGAAAGAAGAAGAAAATCGGATTACGAGACATCGTTTAAGGTAAGTCCCTACAGCAGGATTGGGAAGGGGGGGAAATTTTTGACTTTAATGTCACTTTAAGTGCTTATGTAATGTTAAGGATGGGACTGTGGGAAGTTATGCTTACGCTAACCCTCTCTGTACTGTGCTGGCAGGTTTTATTATCTAATGGAAACTAGATTTAAACTCTGTATTTTCTTAACAATGGGTTAAAGACTTGGAAGCATTGTATGTTAATGAGGGGAAGCTCAGTCTGACCCTCTAGTTTCACTTTTAAACTGCTCAGAATAGCTTGGAATCTGCACAAATGCCTTCACCAAAGAAACTCCACCAAGCAGACTGGAAATGATTTTGTGTAACATCTTGGCACTTGGTGGATATCTTTCACAATACAAAAGGCTTCCACAGTCTCTTTGGACTGGAACTGAAGGAAAAGATAAAAACAGGAGCACCACACCAGAGTGTGAAGTCCAAAAATATTTATTCCAATAGAAAAGTCAAGCAACGTCTGTATGTCTATCCAACACGTTTTGGGGGCTTTAAATTGCCCCCTTCATCAGGGCTAAATCCATGTATAGAAAATCGCAAAGATGGACTCTAGATGTCAGTGAATTTGTCAGATAGGCAAGTTTATTGCAGCATGGCTGTGTGTACCTGCAAGTATTCATTATTCCACTGGTCTTCCTCTCAATCAAAACTAGAAACCACAGTGCCTATGATTTATTGGCATAGAAAAATATAAATAGACCCGTTTAAAAAAAAAAACATATACCCTTACATCCAAATGAGAGCTTGGGTTCCAGGTTGTATGGCTTGTAATGGAAAAAAACATCCTGACCACCAATGAGTTTCCATTTTTTTTAATTAAGAAAACCACACGCATTGAGTAAACTGCACTGACCTGAATGCCCTTGTTTACTGCATTTTACCATGATCCTTAATATTTACTCTTACAAAACAATTTGGCAGTTGTCATTTCTTCATAGAGTAGTGATGCTGATTCATAAAAATGCAATTGCTATAGAAATGTATATTTCCCATGTAAATCTATGTAATTTTCTAACCCACAGCTGGAGTTTAATTGGTTGCTATGGGCAACACAGACATTTTTGTGTACAAAACACTTTTGTAAATAAAGTTCATTGCTTATCAGTTGATCAGTTGTACCAGTCACATATAAGCATTGAGGATAGCCATTATGTGGCAGCACATGGAGTTTGTAATATGATAATCTGAAGCTCATGAAGCTCAGCTGAATTCTTACACTGTTTTATCTCTTCCGAGTGCTGCACCTACAATTGTTATAATTTGTGGCTGATCTTTGCTTAAAATAATTTTTTTCTGTCAATGCATCCTGTGTTTCTACTCCAGTGCCCTGTGCTGTTATAGCTGAGTAAAAGCTACACCCCTCAGCACACGTGTCAAATTTGAATTGCAGAGAAAAAGAGGGGGCGGGGGTGTTTGACTAGGTCTGTTACTGAATGCTGATTACTAAGTGCACTAGGTATTACTCGGGTGCATATTGGACTGCACAGTCATATTTAGACCCTGCACAACTGCTGTAGAAGGAAAATGAATGTAAAATGATGATATTTATATATTGCTTTAGTATTGTATCAGCTCACAGAGAGCTTAACACGTCTAAAAGAAAAACAGTCCTAGCTGCAACTGGTCTGATTTTCTATTCCAGTCTCCCAATCTAAATTGATAATATTTGAATACATTTTTAGATTTGAACTCCATAGTTTGTGCCTTCATTATGAATTATATTAAGATATTAAAAGCAGACAGAGATCGCATCAATTCTCATAACAAAGCACACAAAAGAAATTTCTGAATGCCAACCTGAATATCTTTGCAAATAAATATCAGAAAAGATAATAATATTAACATAAGAATCATGACCAGCAAGGGGAGGTAAAGCATTGCATACCTGGACTATTTATAATGGGGTAGATTCAACTATAGATTATGCAGTGCGTGTCTTTAGATATTGGGAAGGGTGGTGCTGGGCATTAATGGGTTCTTTAACTATAGAATGAGAGTGGCACTAAATTATATTACAGTTAAGTATACAATGCATTGATATAGTCAGAGCTGTAGCTGGGCTCATCATTCCTAAACCTTTTTGTGTTGATGGTAAGATGACACTCGAACAGTCTCTTACAGCATTCATGATCACTGAGTGTTAAACTGTTCCTTCTCCCTGTAAGGGAATCAAGAAAGGTTATGAGGTTATGGTACTGAAAAAAATATTATTATTATTATTATTATTAATAACAATGTATGAACAAAAGTAGATTTTAAAGGGCTGACCACTTAATACAATGGTATACAAAATAATTGTTTTTATGACAGGTATTGGGGAGTGTGTCTCCCTGGAACCAGGGGTGGTAAATATAATAAGTCTACGAGCGTCATATGCTCTGTGGCTGAATGTCCTGTTTCGGGGGCAGGATGTATATCAGAAGGATATTCTAGCAATATCAGATTCTGGGTTAGTATTTAGCAGTAAAATGTTCATTACATTGTTGGATATTGGAATATGCATTAATTGTAACATGATAAGCTACATAGTTAAGTATGCTACATAACTAGCTACATAGTTAAGTCCATTGGTCTAAGTCTAAGCTTTGGTCTAGGACTTTGATTTACTACAGCCTTTTTAAGGACAAGTCCACCTAAAACTTCAATTTTGGGTTTTCAATGGCTTTCAAACACTTGGATCACTACCAGTGCCAGTATTTAATCAAATCTACCAGTTGGTAAATTTAATACAGCATTAAAGAAGTATTGGGAGAGTAAAATGTACTCTTCCCAACAGTTAGAGCTGGCGTATGATACTGCAAGTGCATTTTTAAGATTTAACTCTGGAGTTTAGTGTCACTTTAAGCTGTCACAAATAATTAGCTCTTCACACCAATATAATGGATAATTACTTAACCTACCCCACAACATCCAGAGCACCTGCAGTCTCCACAAAACGTCCCAATGATGCCATTAATAGCTTGGGTAGCACAGAGAACAGCCTGGACCGCGTTCATTATGAGCAGCAAACTAAAAAGTGTCAGGTTCCATGGGACTATATCAGGGGGTGCAACACACGTACTCCAGGTCTTCGGGTTTCCCAAGTAATTTCTACAAAACATAATTATAGTTAAGTACTGCAGTTATTTTGTCTTATTTAGCATTTGAAAAAGAAAAGCTTCATTATCATTTGTTGTACTTAACATTTATATAAAACTAAGGGGTCTATTCACAAAGCTGCCGAAGGATCTAGCCGTAGCTTCGGCTGATCCTTCGGCTAGCTTTGGCCCTAGGACCCCTTCGGTTCAGTAGAATGGAAGGGCTGCTATACAGGCTATTCACTATTCACGGCCTCCAGGGTAACCAGGGACGCTGATCTGTCATTACTCTCCCGGACGCTCTGGGAGTCTCCGCTATTAGATAGCGGCTCCCAACCGCCCGGAAGAGAAACACTTTCTCCCTGAAAGGTTTACTCTGCTCGATCGAGCAGAGTATACATTTCCCTGCTCTGTTGTTTCTTTCTCCTTCTGACATCGGAGCCGCCGGCGCCGTCAGTCAGAAAAAAATACAGTATAGGAATGCATAGTTACATTCTTATTGGCTATTTCACTTTGCAATAGCCAATAGCAAACTAGCTATTGCACCCGCCCTCTGCGGCTGTCAATCAGCAGAGGGGACCTGAAGTTCTCCATCAAATCCCCTTCTAGTGATTGACAGCAGCAGAGGGCAGGTGCAATAGCCAGCTTGCTATTGGATATTGCAAAGTGAAATAGCCAATAGGAATCTAGCTATGCATTCCTATGCGTATTTTTTTTTTATTATTTATTTTATTCTGACGACAGCAGCTGTCAGAATACAAAAAAAAAAAAAAAATTGCAGAAAGCAAAGAAGCTATTGCTTCCTCTGCTATCCGCCATCATTTTAATTGTTTTCTATTTTTATATTCAACCTTTTTAGACTGTTTTTCTATTCTGCTCGGGACCACAGAGGTACCAAGCAGAATAGCCGTGCCGAATGCCGCTCTGCAGCATTCGGCTATTCACTCACTGCTGATCGGCATCTATGAGAATAGGCCGAACAGCAGCGAGTAGCCTGCCGGAGGCTCGGCTCAGCCGATCCAGATGTTGGATCGGCTGAGTCGAACTCCTTCTGCACTTCAGGTCGGCCGAACATGCTGAGGATGTTTGGCCGACCCGAAGCCACCCGATGTACAACGATATACGATTTACCGATATACGACTGAAATCAGACGTACAAGCCTGAAGTGAATAGCCGAACAGCTATTCGGCTCACTTCACTTCGGGTCGGTTATGCACTCGGCTGCCTACGGCAGTTTTGTGAATAGGCCCCTAAGTGTTGGAAACAATAAGAATATTTAAAATAGTATTTGGGGCACATTTGAGAAAAAATAAATCAAAATGCTGATGTTAAACTAGCATTAAATGCATAACAAAAAAAGCAGATTCAAAACTAGGAAACTTTAAACATCAATGCCAATTCTGTTTTTATTTATTTTTTTACCAATTTTAAGTAAATAAAGGGATAATGGGTATTTGTATTGTAGCCTGAATTTGTGGTCATGCAACAATGTCATCCTTCAAATGCAAAACTAAAATGTTTCAAAATGCCATTGCTCTTTTACTGTAGTACTGAAAGAAATATAAAACCCAAACAGTTTACTTTAAAAACACATACATTTTCCAAATGATTACTCTATTAAGACTCCTCAAACCTATTTACTTACCCCCCATCAAAGGCATATGTCCAGTTTCCATAGCCTATGTCACATTTGGGGCCTTTGTGTATACCAACTACAGATATTATAAAGCTGTAGCCAGCTCCAACAAACCCAATGGCAGCAAAAAGGATCGAAGAAAACATCTGGGAAAAGAGAATATATGTGGTTAAAGTTCTTTGCTACACATAAAATACTAAATGTCTAAGAACACAGTGTCCTTTCCCACCAGAGTGCATGATCAGTACTGAGAAAAGTATTCAAGGAAATGTGTGCTGTTTATTTTTAATATATTTTCTTTATACTAACACTACATATGAACTAGTCTCCTTAACATAACCCCATATTGAGAGAAATATGGAGGCTGCCAAGTTACTTGATTGTCAAGTTGATGCGCTGATTTCTATACTTTGGGTCACTGACCTGGAACAAGTAGGAGGGCTTCACTATGACCTCACCAAATAAATACATGTTTCAGGCCAATGACCCTAAAAGGTTCAGAGTGACAGCCAGGTAACTAACCTCTTCAGGTAAGCAACGTCAGCTTTCTATTTTGTGCAGTACAGTAGAGAGCATGCAACATGGCAACAAATCCCCTCCCCCGCCCAAAAAAACCCAATGCAACAGAAAATTTAGTTGACCATTGTAAATTGGAGCAATCATTGCTTAGCATACAGGGGGTTATAAAAACTAATCCTGCACTAATAGTTTAACTTAAATCCTGAATGGGATGCCTGTTGTTTGTATGGTGTGCACGCCCCTGCAGAGACCTGCTCCCAGAAAGGATAGGTGCAACGTGTAATTGCGTGCAGCCACCTGTACATCACTACCGACACATTTGTGTGGGTCTGGGTGCCCACACTTGGACACAGATGGTCTACATCCAAGTGCGGGCACCCATACCTGCATGTGTGAATGAGGCCTTATAGTTAAAGGATCATTTATACAGAATGTTATTTTTTGCATACATGTGCATACCCCTCACCCATCACAACCTCTCCTAACATTACAAAGAAAGAGAAACAAGTAGAAATTTTAAACATTAAGAAGCCCAGAAACCCTAACCTAAGTAAAAGCAATTTAAACTGCAAGAAGCATTTTTTACATTTGTTTAGCTTATGTTATGTGAATGGGAACATGTAACAAATATAAAATAGGTGTTATCCCAGTCCGACTGCAAAGTGGAAATACACTATACCAACCGCATGCCACTTTGATTTCTACAGCTCCTTCTGATCCATGAAGTGAAGAATCCTCATTAAACATAGTCATAGTGATTTAGAGGTAACTTGCACATGGCATATTAAGAATTAAATCACATATGTATATTTTTTGACATACCGCAAATCTCTTTCCACATTTCTCATTGCCACAACAGCCACAGCAGTCATTGTTCTTCAGTCCAAGGAACACCAAAGCTGGAAACACCATCTGAAGCAAATATATGGTATACGTTTGTTGCTGATATCTGAACAAACAAGCCTTCAAATGCTAAACTTCTGGGTGATCTATATAAAGTTATTCTCATACGCATTTTTACATTTTTTAAAAATAAATACAAGTAATAACGGAGTTACATACTTAAGGGCATGAGTTTTGTACATGATTTATGAGTTTGTGTGCAATTCAAAATAAATAGAAACAATTATTTCGCTAGATTCAGCAATTAAGGAGAATATAGTTTGGTAAATCTGCTGGATAAAAGTAAAGTAAAGTTAAGGGAAAACAGGATGCAAGCCAGAAATCAGTAATTACCAATAGTTATACATAGTTATATAGTTAGTCACGCTGAAAAAAGACAGTTATATAGTTAGTCACGCTGAAAAAAGACACAAGTCCATCGAGTTCAACCTATAGAGATAATAGAAGAAAAAAAAAAAGAACGCTATGCCCACAATTACCCACTGTTGATTCATAAGAAGGCAAAAAAACCCTATAAAGCATCATTCAATTTGCTCCAACAGGGGAAACAATTCCTTTCTGATCCCATAAGGCAATCGGATATTTCCTGGATCAACAATCTCTGATGCTAAATATACCTATAAGAACTCAAGATCCAGTAATATTCTCTGCATTTAGGAATACATCCAGATTTTTTTAAACAGTTAACTGTACCTTTTTTTACTGTACAATTAGTAAGAAAAGATAATGATCCCATAAAGTCCAAATACCGAACAAAGCATGAGATTGCTGACATGGTTTCCTTTCTGGATTACCTCTTTAGGACCTTTATCCGCAAATCATTGCTTAACAGGGACAGCATGGTGACTCAGTGATTACCATTTGCAGAGGTTTGAATCCAGGTTTGGTCAGGGCACTATAGAGGGCATGGAGTGCACATGTTCTGTCTGTGCTTGTGTGGGTTTCCTCTGGGTGGGTTTCCCAGTTTCCTACCACACTCCAAAGATATACTGGAAGGTTAATTGGCTCCTGTCTAAATTGGCCCCCATATGTGTGTGTATATGAGAATGGGACCTTAGATTGTAAGCTTCTTGAAGGAAGGGAATGATGTGAATGAATAGTATGTAAGGACGCCAAGGGACATTCCATCTCCAGAGCAGAGGTTGTGAGAGGCGTCAGGGATTAGTGTAGCAGCCAGCCGGATCTGAGGTTTAACTGAGCATTTGGTTTTTCAGACCCTATACAAAAACAAGCACTTAACCCTAGCAGTGTAGGAGTAGCCCCACTGTAAGGGCTAGTTCACACCAAGCGCGGAGCAAATGCAGAGCAGTTACAGAACAGATGAAAACTGCGTTCAATGGTATTTTGGGCTCTAGTTCACACCAGAACGTTCAGTTCCGGAGCATGTGGAAAAACTGCAGCATGCCCTATTTTGTCTGCTCTGGAATGCACCAAAACGCATGCAAACGCCCTGGAACGCACTAAAAGCCCATTTTAGGCAAACACATTTTTTTATTTTTTTTTAAACGGCCCTTACTGGGCGCTGACACACGTTGACATGTCTTGCTGTGTTTCCTTTGATTTCAATAGAAAACATACATGTAGGTAAAATAAAGAGCCGGATCTCCAGGCAGAAACACAACTCCTATATTTCTCCAATAGAAAACATACCTGGCAAAAACAGACAAGTGTGAATGGACAAGTCCACCAGCACTATTAGACATCCTTCTGTCAAATGCCAGGATTGTCGTACAGTCTATCTGAGCTTGACTGTGAACAAATGACATAGAGATACCTGCTAGAGTTATTCCATTTAAATTCTATGCATCATAGGTCTCTTACCAACACTCCAGATCCCAGTATTCCACCAAAATACCAGACTTCATCAGATATATGCCCATTGTTGTTAGCAACTTTTCCTCCAGGAAAAAATAGCAGGATATTGGCCAAGATGCAGAGAACAGCTAGTGGAATTAAGGTAATGCCCAGACATTTAGCACAGCTTCCAGAGCACATATTGTCGAAAATAAGAGTTGCTTCAATTTATGAAAGCCTGGAGTGTTCCAGATGATCAATTCCAATGTAGAAAAATCCTTCAAAAGCACATGGTACCTAGCCAGCTGCTATGATGGTCTCCCGACTTTGATTTCACAGTGACCTGACTATTTATATGTCCACAGTCAACAAAGACCCATAAATTAGTTTACGTATGTAAAAATTTCACTTTGTACCATGACAACTAAAATTCTCTGTTAATATTCTACCTAAAAGAACGGAATACTTTCATTGATCTGTCTTTCCCTCCCTGAAACAGATACTAAAAGGCCTCCCTTGTTCAGCCCCAAATTTCGACATTCAGAACCTTTTCCAGCTACCTATAACCTTCACAAATAATTAACTATTTGATGCAATCTGTGATGGACTGCTTTTTCCTATTACTTTGTCACGGGTGGGAATGTCTAAAGTTGGCATGTAAAACTCGAATGAAACATCGGGCCAGATTGAGTGCTACAAGGGGCAATAATATGTCTAATGAGGGCCACATGTACTTCAAGAAGTATTTCCTTTTTAAAGAGTTCAGTTCAAACGTAGTTAATGGCTGTTATATGTATTATTACTGCAATCTTATTATTAAACACCATAAACTGTACATGAACATGTCTAAAAGAAATATAAAAACAAAAATGTCCCAGCACATTTACTAGTCAGCCTCCAAAAAATACACTGTGTAACTAATAGGGTTAAAAATAGAGGTTTTAGCTGCACAACTTTTGCAAAATATGCGGTAGCCACGCTGCCTCGTCAAGGCCCCTCTGTGTAGTGTGGTTCTAACTCTAATCTATGAGAGCCTCCATCTTGGAGCATACATAGCCAAGAATGAATTGAGTGCAGATTCACAAGGAGGTAGCTCAATCTTCTTAAAAGCACAGGGACAAACCAGAAGCCCAAAACATCACAATGGCAGCTGAAGCCCCCAGTGTGTCCCCACACCAAATCCAACCAATGAAACAAATGGCAAACACACTCATCAATTCATAACTAGCTATAGGCAAGGTACACATGGAAGGGCTTTACAAAGTACAAAAAAAAATATAAGGCCCTCTTCACACCTTGCAATGCACCACCACACGCCCGTTAATGCTTGTTATGTTGAGTGTTAATGTGTGTTGTATTAATGCAGCCCATTCATTTTGTATAGGCTGCACACACAACAACAACACATCAAAAACCAGACCCAAGTCCATTTTTTAATGTTATGTACATTGCAGTGCAAGTCTGTCAACACTTACTATGCTTGTGTGTGGGGCTACTATTTGGAATAAATGGCTCCACAACATACAGCACAGAATGGCATGCAGGACAACATTCTTCTTACTGCACACTATCACAATGCATAGGTGTGAAACTGGCCTAAATGGTGAGATGTTTACCTAGGTTTCTATACTGTATTTATAGATTTAGCCAACTTCTCTTTGAATCTCTCAATAATAAAATTATAATAAAGTCAATTCCTGCTGGATTCAGGATCTGATACAATCATTTGAGGGAGCCATGGCCATCTTGCCTGTAGGCTTCATGCATCTGATATTGACTAAACAATGCCGAGCCATCTTAAAAGAGGGAGGCTTTACTTCCTCACGTCAGACCTGCCCCTTTATAACCAGTGCTCTGATGACTCAGGGACTGATCAGGAAGCAGCAGAAGAGGTAGAGAAAGCACAAGTCCTCATGTACCGCTTCCTCTCCAGTGAACCTTAAGAAGAACAGAGAGCAGCGCAATAATGACATCACCAAATCTTACCCCAAATCGTGTGAGATTAGCAGTTAGAGACAGCACTGCCTTAGATGATCTCACACTGCAGATATGCAACTAGGATGCTAGAGGAACAGAAGTGCGTAGGTACATGTGTCAGGAAGTGCACTGCTATTTCCTAGAAGGTATTAAAGGCAAAAAGTAGAGTTTTCAGGGTACAGCCTAATTACAATTATAATTATTTTGTTCAATCTTCGGGATGAATTAAATAAATATAAGAGATTCTCCTGTTGTGTGCTTTGTATTCTGACAGCGGCAGGGGTGCCACTGTTAGAATACCCAAACAGTGACGGCAGTTGATTGGCTGACTGAAGAGGGTTCATCCAGCTCCTTCGGTCTTTTAATCGAAAGATGCCAGACAGAAGGGTGATGACAGGGCCACCCACTGTGCAGTGTATAGCTGGCTTTTGTAAAGTGTATAGCTGGCTTTAGAATTAATTTAGCATCTTTGGAACATCTCATTCTAATGGGATGAAGGAAGGTGTGTGAGGCAGAGCAATCAAGTCAGATTTCACAGTTGGGAATAACAATACGTAATGTTTCCCTGGAGTCTATTTTATCTTAAATCTCCTTGTAATTTAATTCAGTTAAAATATTTGTTATGATTTGGTAGCTCTAGCACTTTTCTGTTTAAAATCAACATAGAATATCCCTTCAGACTTACACAGTGGTACCTAGAAAGGAAATTAGATAAAACCTTGGGGCGACTGGAGATCCCTGATGATTATGACCCAGGCTAGTACAGACAATACTAGAGTTTTGCCTCTTACATGGAGATGTGATAGTAGAAGGGGACCCGCTCAGGGAACGAGCTATTGCTTTCTTGCAGACAATGTATGATTTTATAAGCTGCACTTATTCTGTATTCTCGGTTTATTTTTGTCTTTGTGTAAATGTGACATGAGTATTTGACTTTCTTACATAACAGATTGTTTATGTTGTTATTTTTATGTTTTGGAATTTATATTTTGGAAATTGCTGTATTTCCTGAAAACCCAATAAATTGTTTAAAAAAAAAAAAAATCAACATAGAATAGGATTTAATCACTCTTTGAATGTTTTTTTTTACTTAAAGATTTGTTTATTTGACATTCAAGGAATCAGTTTCTAGAGGAAGCGGCAAATTGCTTCTCTATGTTTCTATTTCTTCTAATAAACTGGACTGCCCCTTCCCATTGCCCGACTATTTTAACTGCTAGCGATTTCTAAAACAGTAATGGAGAAGAAAATTCTCCTACCTGTACTATGAAGACAATTGTCAAAGAACATATTACACCATTTCACAGTGAGATGGAAGTTATTTGACTGAGTTGTGAAAAATAATACAAGGTGAGACTCCTCTTACAGAATTATCATTGGGAGAAGTGTCCCTTTTGAAAGATTCCAGTGACAATTGTCAGCAGGACAAAAAGAGAGGTGAATCACCTCATTATGAACACAGACAGCAATAAATCAACATAATATTTATTAAGAATAATGCTTTTTTGTGTATATATATATATATA